TCATAGGTAATGTACCTCTCCCTCTGCCTCTCAGGAAATCATATCGTCTTTTATTTTCTCGGGATGCCGAAGGGAGGAGAGAAGGAAACCAAAATTTTTGAGAGTCTTACCTTCCTGACTTGCAGGAGGATTCCAATCCCTTGTATACCAAGCCCCAAGACAAGCAAATAGATGTCAGTTTAGGTTGGAAATCAGCTTTGGTTCTTTCAAACAATCATGAAAAGTGTTGTCATAGGTGATCAGTGATCCACTTTAGCATCTATAGTACTTTCTGCAATCAACAAATCTAAGAATGGTGCTAAAGAGTGGTAAGTTAAAAGGTAAGACTTTGAAATTTTTTCCCTTTCTTGACTCAATAAAACCAATTTTTGAAAACTTTATAAATAAGATCAAAAAAAGGTAAAGTAGCATCATTAATCGTCTCCCCCAGACTTAAATCATACACTGTCCTCAGTGTATAATCAGTCGGAGTTAGAGTATAAAAACCATAATTGTGTAACTGATATCAAAATTGTGAACGATATACTTGACCGATATGATATCAATCGATGGTGAGTCGCCATCGTCGATCGATGTGTGTATATATGTGTTGAACGATATCGACTGGTTTGTATCAGTCGATAGGTAGTGATCGTGTATCTATCTTCCTAAAAACAAATAAAAACGAAAGTAATAAGTAAAAATAAAATGAAATGAAGTAAGAAAATACCTAACAGTGGGTTGCCTCCCACTCAGCGCTTGGTTAAAGTCAGTTAGCTTGACTATGGAGTTATGGTGGCTAGTGAGGTGGGTTGCAGGTACTTGTTGGCAAACAAGTATCCTCCTTGTCTTGTGATTCTTCAAACCAGGAAGTTAAAAAGCTTCTTGTGGCTTTCTCGCTTCTGGCCATACTAGTCTTCAAACCATAAACTTCAGTTTGGATCCTTTCCAACCACTCCTCTAGGCCTCCAATGCTATACTGATGATGGCCAAGCATGTTGTAGATGTGGTCTTCATTCAGCATCGTGGTGTCGTGGTGTGTTGGATCATCGGTCGATTCTGGAGGTTTCATATTGGTCGATGGTAGTGGAATGTCATCGATCGATGGGGATGCGTCAGGTTTGCTGGCGAGCTGTCTTTGGATGTCTTCTACCTCCTTCTGAATCTCTTCTGTTCTAAGTTCCAAACTTCGAACATCACTCTGTACTGGGAACCAATACTTGTCTAGTAATCTATAATCTTCGTCTCCACAAGCCTCAATGGATTTGTAGATCTCTACTGTGGTTTCTTCAAGGTCTTCCCTAGTACAGAACTCTGGTTCTCGGGTATCGATCGATGGATTGGGTTTGTCATTGATCGATAGTTTCTGTAGGTGGTGCTCGATCGGGTTGTTGACAGCTTTATCGATAGATGCAGGGGGGTCTGTATCGTTCGATGCCTGTGTCTGAGATTTCAGTTGTGCACGCAAAGTGTTGACTTCTTCTTGTAGGGCTTCTCTTTCTTGTCGTGCTAAGTCATTGCTAGTGGTATTCCATAGCAGTTCACCTCTAAATCGTGATAGGTCTTTCTCATGTTCAAGTCTCATTCCTACTATCTCCCAATTGTGATCTCCGGTTCTTCAATCTAGCATGTAAGTGACTTCTGCCTGTGTGTAGAACTTGCCATCTGGAACTCCTTTAGCATATTGATCAGTATACACTGGTAGACAGAAACAAGAGCATCCAAATAATGAGGCTCTCTTCAGCAATTTTCCCATGTCTTCTTTGGTAACATGGATGATGTCTCCATTTAATGCTCTTGCATGGTCAGATTCATCTCTGTAGACTCCATATTCATCTTTCTTTTCCCAAAAGAAACGACGAACTCCGTTGTTGAAGGCTCTCTTTCCATATTCTCGGTGCATATCGATTGATGTGAGTCTCCATGCATCGGTCGATGGCCGTTTTCCTTGGTGCGGATCGTTCTCGATGATTGGTCCATTGGTCATCTGAAGGATGTCTGCAACATCTTCTGTGGAGATTGGAATGATTCTCCCATCTATTGCTCGTGCATGACCATCTGAATCCCTGAAAATACCATACTCATCCGGAATTAGTGAATTTAAATCAAAAGTAGGTGTTTGTACCTCGGATTGTGTTGTGGCAGGATCGGTTGGTGGTCTGAGATTGATATCGATCGATGGAGAGAGCTCCATATCGGTCGATAGGACTGCATCGGGTTGGATCGCGGGCTGGAGTGGTGTTGTATCCACTGCAAAAATTTCATGATAGTTTCTTGCCCAACTTCCAATCGAGTAATCTCTGTCGTGTGGCTCATGTGGGGCATGGACAGGTACATAGTAGGTGCCGCTCGTGAGTTCGAAACGTCGTTTGAGCGATCTGGGAGAGGGCATATCGATCGATGGACTAGTGGTCATATCGGTCTATGCTCGTTGGAGGAAGGTCGGGATAGGAGGGTGTTCTGCATCTTCTCAAAGAAATCGGTACTCGGTGGCTTGTTCCTCCCCATAATCTTCATCATACTCCTCTTGAGTAGTGATACTAGCTAGTTCAGGCATGTAATGATCGGCTTCGGGAAACTCGTCTTCGTAATGCTGGAATTCCTTATCGATCGATGACCATGTGGGCATATCGGTTGATGGTTCTACACTGGTATCGGTCGATGGTAAGGTGCTGTCATCGGTCGATACTGCTTCTTTGGTTTCATACTCTCCCATAGAATCATACTCGTGGGCACAAAAACAAGTGGCTACGAGTGTTGAGTTTGCTGACCTTGGAAACTTGATGATTGGAACAGGGTTGTAGTGGATGGAAGGGTTGATGAGGTTAGGCAGAGCTTGTTGGTTTGTAGGTCACAAACTGCTCCAACGGTGGCTAAGAAGGCTCTTCCAAGTAGTAGAGAAATCTTGAAGTTGAGCTTGTTGGAGAGGACATGGAAGTCTGTAGGAATTAGGGTTTCTCCAATCTGTACCTCAAGGTTGCGAACGATGCCTCCAGAGCTTTGTTAAGAACAATCCACAAAGATGAAAGTTTCTTCAGAAGGTCGATCTTTAGACCTAGATGGTCTGCCATAAGCTTGGGTAAGATGCTAACTCCAGATCCTGTGTCACATAGGGCACAAGGGAACTCAACACCTCTGATGGAGCATGGTATTGTGAACTTCCCTGGATCACTCTTCTTCTCCAGTGTTATCTTCTGCTTTAGATTATCTCTGACTTGGTGAAACATTCTCTTGATGTCTTCTTCTGTCTCCTTGGTTTCTCTGAAGAACATCCACAATCTGTGTGAAAAAATAGGCTTCTTCAAAGGGTTTCTCTTTGGGTATTCTGAGGACTCTTTTTCTGAAGCTTGACAACTCCTTCTCATTAGCTTCTCTTTTATAATAAGGCTTAGGTATCTTTTCTTTCCTTTTTCTGAGAACTGTTCCCTGAGTTTCCTTTTCTATCTCCATGGACTCAAAGATATCCGTGGGTCTCTCTTTTAGGGCTGCTGTAGGGCTTCTAGGTGGTGTAATACTGCTCCCGGAAAGCGTCAATACGTGCACTATCAATCTTAGGAAGTTGCACTCGGCGTTGGGGTACTGTGTATCGATCGACACTGGCTGGAGTGTCTCGGTCGATATCAGGGTCTTGGTGTCGATCGATGACAGGGATGGGCGGATGTGGGTGTCGTGAAGGCTTCGTGAGACATAATCTTTACGGAATTGCACTCGCAAGAATTTTCGTCTGAGTCTATCGATCGACAGTTATCAAAATCTATCGATCAACGTACTAAGGGTGATATCGATCGATGTTGAGCAAGTGATATCGATCAATAGTAGTCGAATGCGAAAACTCTTTCACTCTCATCCTCAGATCTCTGAATCTCTTCTACTACCTCTTGCCAAAATTCATCATCCACGATGGCATTGATGTTCTAGTTGTGGGCAAACTCCTGCTTCTTAAGTGGTTCTCCTGTCTGAAACACTTGGGTCTCTAGCTTCTTCACATGGGTGCTGAGGGCATCTATCTTCGTGGTGAAGGTGGTGTAGACAGAATCGATCTTTCCATTGAAGTTTACCTCGAGCTTCTGCTGACTCTCAAGTATCTTGTCTATCAACTCCTCCAGTTTAGTATCTTGGGTGGGTGGGTGTGGATTTGAGTAGAAGGCACTTCCATAGCTTCCGTTGTTAGGGTTGCTGCTGCTGAAATTGTTGGGCTTTTGGGAACTCTGGTTGAAGTTGCTTCTCTGGCCTGTGAAGTTTATGTATCCTCGTTGGTTACCAGATCTCTGAAAACAAACTCCACTAATCCAGTTTACATCTTCTTCAACAATGTCTGCATCTTCCACTGAACAGATCTGCTTGTTTAGGAGCTTTTGAATGTTGTCTAGCTGTGCTTGAACTTCATTGATGTACTCCTTCCCAAGGGATGATGTAGTCTGCGTCACAGAGTTCTTTGTGCTGTTGCTGGAAGCCAAGTTATCAATTAGCTTGATAGCATTTTGCGGATTCCTGGTGGTGAAGTTGCCATCACTAGCTGTATCAAGGGCTTTCTTGAAATCTGGGCTGATACCGCTGTAGAAAGTGCATAGCAGTTGCACTTTGTTGAATCCGTGGTGTGGGCAGTCTCACTGGTAGGATTTGAATCTGTTCCAAGTATCCTTAAATGATTCTTCAGGGTTTTGGGTGAATGTAGCAATTTTCTTCCACCAGTCTTCAGCGCGTGAATCATCAAAGAAATTACGCAGGAAAGCGTGCTTGATGTCACTCCAGGTGGTAAGGGAACATGGTGGTAGTTGTCATCCATTATGCTCTGTGACGGAATCATGTATCTGTTGATTAACCAAAGCTTCAACGTCACCTTCTACAATTTTCTGTCTTGTTTCAACCATGTAAACTTCTTCGACCAATGCATCATCAACCCACTTGAAGAGATGAGATTCACCTTCCCTCTAGATTAGGGGATACAATATTAAATCTAAAAAATTAAGTTGGGATTAAATTTCAAATGTATAAAGTCTTTACTCGAACCTGCCTAGCAACTACACAACGATAGAATCTCCTAAAGGGATTCTTGGTTGTCTTGGAAACAAATGTTCAAACATGATTCCCACACCAGCAGTTTGTGGGGACACCCTCATACGCTGATATGTTTTGCCGTGAACAAGTACCCTGCGAAACTAAATTTCCCGACATTCTGCAACTTCACCGTAAACGAAAACATTTAGAATAATATGTTTTATGAGAGAAGTGAGAATAAAATATTACCTAGCTTTAGATTTGGACATAGTGGCCGCTTCAGATTAGAGAAATAAAGAGAGATTAACCAGAAGTGAGAAGAAAAAGGTATGACAAGTGGTGGGGTTTGGTTGACGCATAGGCGTAGAAAATAAACCGGTTGGGAGTTTTGGTTAGAGGAAAACCAGGTTTTTATTCAAATTGAATCGGCAACAAGGTTTACAACATCAGACCGCAAAACTTCATTTAAAAAACATCAATTTAGGGACATCCTAATAATGGATGATAGATATTTAGAGCAAGAATATGTGATTGTGATGAGTTATGATACTATTGCTGAGATGGTGAAAGTTCCTACAGTATCACCGAATGTATATGTGTCACAAGAGTTGTGAGATTAGATACAAGGAGGTGATGTTGACACGCTTCCTTTCTTACAAACATTTGTTTCACCCTATGATCATGACACATAAATTTACTATAAATAATCATACTTGGTAACTCATACGGTAACACAAAAGCATACCTTTTAGCCGGTTTTTAGCTGAGCTAACACTATAATACTGCAACCTACTGTGAGAACGCTAGCAAAGAGGGTTATCATAATATGTGAGTATCAGTTCCATTATATAAGTCATTTAACATAATAAAATCACTGTGACGGTCAATAGCTAGTTAATCAGGTGACAGAAAAACATTTATGAATGGTCAAACTTACTGAACACTTTCTTATCATGTTTTTTATGAAGACAGATGGGGCAGCTTGTCCGAATCCGAAGAGGAAAACGGAAAATAAATTCCGGGGGAGGTTGACGTTTCGAGAGCGATCCCTCTGACAATGAGCACTAAATTATTGCCCGGAGCAATGGAAAATATCGAGTCCTTTACGAGTCTCATACGTGTAGAGATCGGTATAGAAATTCACTGCCCCATATCTTTGACATATCAACTGCCAGAAGGAATGCTTCAAGGACTTCCATCAAATTTGCAACCAGAAAATATAATAACTACTGATGACCTGGAGGTAGTTATGAGTGTACAAGAGTGGACAAAGGACGTGGAAATTTGTATTACATCTGGAGCTCTAAACGTGGCTAGATACCAATTCTTCTGTAGAGCTCCATTCACATTATGTGATACAACATATTTAGATGGAAGCGTCTTGAAGGAGGATCAGTTGGCGAACATAAAAGGTTAGGGTTGTAAAGTTAATGAGTTTGACAGAAAAATATTGTAAATTAAGCACGTCTGAAAAACTTTAAAATAAATCAATTTCAATGGTTTTCCCAGCTATGAATGGAAACGACGTGATACGTTGCAAACGACGTGATACGTTGCAGTGAGCATGTACTGAATAGTATATTCGAGGAGGAGAATTTGGTCCTGATTTACTATTTCTCTTTTGGAGTAGAAAAAGCTAGAGGATTTCCGTTATGTGACGTAAATGGTGAACATAACCTGTGTGACCAAAGTAAGCATTTCTTGATATTTTATAACTATCAAGTTAAGGGTTTCAAAAATCTAAAGCGGCCGGCTTAACATATATATTTGGACGCATAAAGAGAAAACTGAGTTTCTATCTAATTTCACAAGTTTTTTACTGTACATAATTTAACGAATTTATTCATATATCTAACAAGCGTATATAATATTTGTAGTATTACCGGTTAAACTATTCATTAGCCACATATAGAATAAAATTTTGGTTATAAGTTACAAACATGCAAACGTGCATGCATCAATTTCTGTACGAGTATATACATGAAAATTAATGAGGTGACGTACTCTGATTTTCAGAAAGACTAAATTGAAGTACATGCAAAGAAACGAGGATTCTGTAAAAAATCAAGATTACCGATTCATTAATGACTATTTGATTATATTTAATACCCAGAATAATTTGATTCTCAGTAGTACAATGTTCACAGAATATAAGTTATAATAAACCGGACCTAATGTTATTAACCTGTTATTTAACCTTCACAAGTTTTGTTAGTAAATAATGTATTAACATTTATATATGAAATGACCTCTTTAACAAACGACCTATATGATACTGTTAAAAATCAAATACTGCAGATACAGAAGATGAATCAAGATACTTCAATCCAGACTGGCGAGAAGTGGAATGCGAACAAGAGTATTGGGATAACGAGATTAACCATACCTCAAATATTGGCGATCCACTATCTCATAAACTCCCTATCGAAGAAGCGGACATTACCAGTAATATTGATGTAAATATGAATTACCATGTGACGGAAAATGAAAACCCAAAAGTTGTTGAGTTGGTGCAGTCTTCAACAGGTTCCACGGGGAATGATAACCAAGGTGGAGACACACAACCAATTTACCCCAATAACTCTAACCGGCGATGAACACAGTCAAGGGGGTAAGCCTGTAACCCAATAGGTTTAGCCTGGTAATATAACTTTCAAATAAACTCTGATCATAACGGACTGTTCAAAATTTTTAACTATGTAGTCGAGAAAGAAAAAAATTACACTTTCTTGGAGGAGGAAAGAAGATTGGTAGAAGCAACACAACTTGTGCAAAACAATTACATAAATGTAACCGATGAATCTGATGTCTGTGGGAACCGAAATCCACCTACTGTCAAATAATCGTAAATAAGGAAACTTCGGGAAAACCCTAAGTTTCCAGAGGAACCGGCTATCTGCAGAACCGCACAACGAATATTAAGAGAACGATGAACTTTAAAATTAAAACGAGAATGAATGAGATTGAAAGCAAGAAGGTTCTTATTCCGAATCTGCGTAAGAACTGGTACAACGAGAGAAGCCTAAGCTGCGTGAGCCGTCGGCAAAATCCCTAGAAATCTAAGAACGAAAACCCTAGTTGAGACGCAGCTCGCTAACAGAAAAACGGAAATATTCCTAATTGCTAATTTCTGGTGGTGAGATCTCTGAAAATCTTGTCCCTTGCTTCTGCCCTGGACCTCTTTTTTATATAGTCCTCGCCTTGGCCATTCGGTCTTTCCATTTCGCCCAGATTTGACTATATCGGGAATTTTCCATTTTTCTTGATCCTTCCTTTTCTTCCGCGGAAATCTTCTATTTTTCTTCAAACCTTCCTTTTATCTTCAAACTTGACATTTATTTTCCTCCTGCGAGTAAACCGTCAAAACATTATCTTATCTTCGAGTTAGATTCCGTTTCCGTTTCCGTTTTATACAATTTCCTCGAGTTCTTTGTCGAGAAAGCGAAGTTTTACGGTTTTTATCGTAAAACTCGAATGATAGGTCAGATCGAGACGTCTCGGCCGTGGTTCAGAATGTGACCGTGTCGAAAGACGTACGTTTCGAATCGGGAATGCGGGAGATCGAGGCTCGGGACGTCCAGGAAGTCTCTAGTTCGTCCAACGGTGAACTAAGCGGGCTGGCTTAATTCGCCAGTGGGCGAACTAGTCGGGACGGGACTAGTTCGCCCACCGGCGAACTAAGCCAGCTTGGCTTAGTTCGCCGGTGGGCAAACTAGTCATGGGCCTCCTAGTTCGCCGGTGGGCGAACTAGTTGCGACTAGTTCGCGTTTTACGGCTGTTTCGGTTTTTTGCGGTTTCGTAAAACGATTCTCGAGTTTTATAAAACTATCTTCGAGTTTATCCGGATGGAAAGTTTCAAATTATGCTCATCCATCAATCTTTGATCCGAGCGACCTCGATGTTTCCAGCGGTTGTCCTCTTCCCGAGCCGGTCTTTCAACGTCTCTTTACGACCAAGGAAGAGTTTGCAGACTACTATTTTGCCGTGAGCGCCGCGGAGGTACCGCCTTCGAATTTATGGGTTCCGAAGAAAGATAAGCCTCGGAAGAAAACAGTTGGCATGAGCACGAGCACTGCTGGTTCTCTCAGATATTTGAGAAATATCTATGCGATCCCTGAGTCGGTTCAGTTTCGCCTCCTTGTCAGGGCCAGGGTGCCGAGGATCCGCCTCCGGGTTATTTTACGTGCTACGAAGTCTTTCTGTTGACCTGCCAGCTATGGTTCCCTATTCCTCAAGCCATTTTCGAATTCTTGGATAGGTTCGGAGTACCATTCGGCCAACTACGCCCTAGTGGCTTACAGCACCTTTCCGGGATTCTGGTGTTGGGATACGAACGCGGAATGTCCCTTGATGCGGATTATCTTTCGTCTATGTTGACATTCAAGGGAAGAAAGGACGGTTTTTACTTAGCCCCCCGACGGGACATGACGGTTATTGGCAGGCTTGCCTCGAATGATCACGATTGGATTTACCGATTCTTTTATGTCAAAATCGACGGCACATCGGTGGAGGAGAGTTGTATTCCTTTGATTAGGGCTGCGTGGGCGACAAACGGTATTCCATTGACGTGATACCCATATCCATATAGATATAGCTTTTAACTTTTTTCGTTTGTTTCGCAGTGTCTGCCTCCCCCCCCCCCCGAGGCCGATGCTTGAGGATTTTCCGGAGGTTACGAATCTTTTACGTGGCGGCCTAATTCATTGGGGGTACTTTTCTCCGAAAAGGATCCGTCGTGCCGTTGCCTATTTTTCGTCCGGTTTTTCTCGTGACGGTCATGCTGATTTTAAGGCGGGCGATGATGCGGAGGAGAGGGAAAGGTCTAGATCCCCGAAGGATAGAGAAGTTCCGATCGATCGCGGCCGGGCATCTGACGAAGATATCAATATCGAAGATCTTATTGATTTTTCGCCCTCCGAATTCGATCCGGCCAAGATGTCATCCCGAGGACCAGCTGACACACCGTTTGCGAAAGCGTCGAGGCTTTTCAACAAGGTTTGCCTATTCTTTATTATTATGTATATATGTTTTTATGAAGGATGTTTGTTCCGTTTGCAGGGTCTTCGCTTTATGAGCAAAGCGGTGAGCGCGAATAGTGCGGAACTTCGCAGGGCCGAATCTAGGGTTGCAGCGGCAGAGGCGGAGGCTGTTCGTATCAGAGGGGAGATCGACGCCAGTTTCTCTCGTGCCCAGGATTTGGCTGCAAAGGAGACCGCTCGTGTGAGAGAGGAGTATGAAGCTGAATCTCGTCGAAGCTTAGAACTTTCTG